TTTTAATTAAAAAAATATATAGTGTTCTATAGCTATATATTTTTGTGTCTATGAACGCTCAATCTCAGCTCTCGCTGGACCGATTTTGATGAACATAACATTAAATGATTACAAATCGCATCTAGTAAGACATTACCTTCAAAAATTAAAAACGTTTCTCTCGTACCCTGTAAATGGAGGAAANAAACGTTTCTCTCGTACCCTGTAAATGGAGGAAATCCTCCAAAAAATTACAAATGTAAAAATCGCTAATTTTCAACATTTTTTAATTTTTTTTACTTAAAACTGCAATAAATTTCTTTATTGAATCTATATAATTTTTTTTTATAAATCTGACCCTTTGCCTGCCTACAGAGGGAATTCAAAATGACAACTTTTTACAAAAAATTAACTTTTTCAACTTGACTTTTGAAAATTTCCGGAAAGTCTTACACTTTTATATATATTTTAAATTTAAGTTAGTGTAATATTATATTCCTTATATTAATAAGGAAATAGCAGATCATGAAGCTTTTGGAATAATCCACCAATTTTTTAAAATTAAACACTATCTAAAGATTTGCATCGAAGCGTTTTTTTTTTTATAGTGATTTTAATCACTGTCAGATATAATTATACTTGATCCAACTATGCTACGTCATCACTGTGCCGCGACCCCCCTGTGCCGAGTTTTTTTTTTAAACAGATTTGAATTCAGCGTCATTTTAATTGACTAAATAAAATTTTTGAAATTTAATTTAATGTGACCTCTATATAAAGGTTTCAGACCGACATAAAAAATATGTTACTACATATTTAATTTATTTGAATAAAGTAAAAAATAATTAATTTTTAAATTTTTATAGAAACCTTGACACAAATCTTCTTAAGACATGGTAAATAATTTTTGTTTATTACATTTTATTCACACACTATTGTTTAAAGTATACAATTAATAGCAAATTTTCTCTGGATTTGAGGAGTTTAGAACTATTGGACAACTATCAACATATTGGCCTTATAATTTACAGGATGATTCTTTTATCATAAATTATTTAAATAATCAAAAGATAAAAATATTTCTGAGAATTTTTTTTGTTTTCTTTTAGGTACATACTTTTAGTACAGAAGTTTATCAATCATGAAGTATTTTTGTATTCATTCCATATATTTTATACACACATAAATAACTAGCTTATTAATTAGATATTAATTGTTTCAAATAGGATCACTCTTTTATCATAAATTACTTATTTTACTTTATTTTTACAAAAGTTAACATACAAAATAAATTATCTTATTTATTAAATACTAATCTAATTAAAAACTGACTGGTCCATAAAATTTTTTGGATTAATATAGTTATTAAATTAGAATTATTAACAATTAAAAGTATTGACTGGGAATGAGACGCGAGTGCCACTATTTTTAACACGCTTATATTAGTTTCACTTGTATGTATGTATGTATGTATGTAACTCTCCAAACGCCACGCGTTATCGCATATTCCGTCGTCTATACTAGACTGTCATAACGCATTCACCCCACCCCACGCCTAGCTCATCACACGACGGCAACACTATTCCTCTGTATAAATTTATTTTTGGTTATCGTACCCGTGTGCTTGTCATTAATATTATATATATATAAACAAATTTTTATTTTGACTGACCATTATCATCCGCGTGCATACGGCTTACGTATATATTCCTACTGCCGTTTATACCTCAGGTATAACGTTAGTCCAACGCTTTTATCACAATAAAACTAGTATTTTTTGTTCATAATTATTTTAAAAATTATTTTTAACTTTTTAGTTCGATGTGCTTTAAAAGCGTGTTTTTTTAGTTTTTTAAACTATATTTTTATCAATAATAATTTCTCAGACGTAATTTTCCTCTGCTTAGGTATAAAAAAGTCAATAAATTCTCAATCACAGGTTTAAAATTTGTTATTGGCCATTTTTTGTTCAATTTAATAATTTTCTATTTTATAAGCTAGTTTTATATGTATGTTGTCACTTGAAAAATAAAGATGACACTTTATGATGGCTTAATTGATATATATATATATATATATATATATAAATCCTTCATGATTAATAAATTGCAAATATTATGTATCTACACATTACCAAAGAAAAAACTATTAATAATATTTTTATTTTTCAATTAAATAATTGGTTCATGATAAAATATCCACTTAGCATATTTATTATCTTTTTAAGGAGAGCATACTGGTACAATTTTTTCCGGCAGTATTATTTTAATTAAAAATTATTTTTTCTAAACATGTTGATTTTAAAACATTATTTTAGTCTTGTGCAAAGATTAGAAAATAAACAAATTATTCTGTACTTCCATAAAACCATTTTTTTAAGGTCAGGGTGAAAGGCGTTGGTAAATATTATATCGTACCAAATGGTATACATCAGAGTTTCTCAAAGTATGGTCCGCGGACTCCCAGGGGTCCGCTAGTCCATACCAGGGTGTCCGCAGAGCTACCCAAACCCAACCCAAATATAGGCTGCTGTTAATAAATGTTATTTTATGTTTGAAAGCACTTTCTATAATCTATACTAGTGGTTTTCAATCGGTGTGCCGCGATAAATCTATTAATAGTTTTATAATTTTGTATTTACCAGTATTATCATCGATACTCGGTGAAAACTGATAACTAACAAGCATAAAGACAGTCTAATCGCTCATCATTAATCGTAAATACGTATAATACTATAATAGTATTTAATATTAGTTTGCCCATCGCAGCCGTCTCGATCGTTTTACGTCGCGTCGCGGAATATTGTGTTGTTAATGACTTATGTCCTACATGGTATATTATTATATGGTAAATTTACAATATAATAATAAAAAATTGAGTGTTGGTCTTTAGTAATCAGCTATGGATTGTTGGTTAAAGACGGGTACTGTACGTGTAACTGAAGTGCCGATTGAAACTAATGGAGGCGGCAAACAGGCCCTTGTCCCACCTAACCTTAACAAGCCGTCTTGTTCAAAATCTAGTGCTAGTGTCAATAAAGCCAAAAAACGCAAATATTGTTATGAATATTTAAACCTGGGATTTGTGCAAGCGGGTACAGACATTGAACAAAAACCACAATGTGTTTTGTGTTACAAAATATTTTCCAATGAAGCAATGAAACCTGCTAAGTTTCTTAGACATTTAGAAACAAAACACTCTGAGTTTTCTGGTAAGTCAATAGAATATTTTAAAATAAAAAGCAATGAAATGAAAAAGTCAAAAAATAAAATTGAAAAAATTGCAACTGACACTACAAATGAAAAGGCAACTATTGCATCATATGCTGTTTCTCTGTTGATTGCTAAGTCGGAAAAGCCTTATAACATAGGAGAGGAGCATATCATGCCTGCTGCAAAAAGTATGTGCAGCATAATGTTAGATGAAACTGCGGCCAAAGAAATAAGTTTGATTTCATTATCAAACGACACAGTTAAGAGAAGGGTTGACGATATGTCTGAAAATGTGCACTCCCAATTAATTTCACGTTTGAAATCTACGGAAATGTTCGCATTACAACTATACAAGAGTATAGATTTTACTGATAAATCTCACTTGCTAGCTTTTGTCCGTTACGAACGCGAAAATATTGAAGATCTGTTATTTTGCAAAGAAGTAATACATAACAATGCAAATGATGTATTTGAAGTTCTTAATGATTGTATTTTAAAAAATGAACTAGATTGGAATAAATGTGTAGGGTTAACTACTGATGGAGCTGGAGCGATAGCGGGTCTTAAAACTGGATTGATGGCTCGGGTTATGCAAGTAGCGCCAAACGTCAAGTGGACACTGTTCAATACATAGAGAAGCTTTGGCAGTGAAGAAAATGCCAACTGAGCTTAAAACTGTGTTTGACGAACTCGTCAAAATTGTCAACTACATTAAGTCTCGACCCTTGAACTCTCGTATTTTTACCAAGCTATGTCAAATGGGAAGTGAACACGAACAGCTATTTTTACACACAGAGATTCGCTGGCTTTCTCGAGGAAACGTTCTTACACGTTTTTTCGAATTAGCTGATGAAGTAAGAATATTGCCTTATGATGGTACACAGAAAAAGTTCATCTTAAGAGAAAAACTTAATGACCTTTCGTGACTCTGCAAAATTGCGTACTTAGCAGATTTATTTACACATTTGAATGTTTTGAACTTGAAGCTGCAAGGACCTGATACTAACATATTCGTAGTAGAAGACAAAATCGAAGCAATGATTGAAAAACTAAAGCTGTGAGTAAATCAAGTTGAAAGAAAGTCTTACACATCATTGCCTGTGTTACAACAATTTCTAACCAAATCAGAAGACATTCTACCTGTTGAGATTCAAGTCATTATTGTCGAACATATGACAGACTTAGCGAGTACTTTGAGAAAGTACTTTCCTGCACCAGATAAAAACAGTGACTGGATGAGACACCCTTTCAAACAACAAGATGTTGCTAGCCTTACTATCCTCTCTGAAAATGAACAAGATCAACTGGTAGATTTGTTTTGCAATAGGGCTTGGGAAATAATCTTCAAAGAAGAAAATGATTTATGTCATTTTTGGTTTCTTGTCCGGTCAGAATTCACAGATTTAGCAAACAAAGCCTCCAAACAACTTGTGCCTTTTTGTACGACTTATTTGTGTGAACAGACATTTTCTACATTTTGTAACATAAAAAGTGTCNGAACAGACATTTTCTACACTTTGTAACATAAAAAGTGTCAAGAGAAATCGACTGAAGAACGTTGAAACAGCATTGAGGTTGAAAATTTCAACAATTGTTCCTAATACTTCGGACATTATAAAGTTTAAGTAACAAATGCTTTCTTCCCATTGATAGTGTTCATATATTTATCAAGATGTTTTATGTTAATAAAAAGTTTACACCTGGAACCTAACCGGAGGTCCTCGAAGACTTTAGATGGGGGTCCGTGATTCATTTGACTTTGAGAACCTCTGGTATACATCACATAATGAAATAGTATTTTATTATGCATAGAATAAATAAAATTACATAAAAAAATAATCAATCTCTGAACTAAATTGAATAATATTATATTATAAATATTTTTTCTTTTTAATACTAATAATATATATTTTATATTAAATTAAATATGTATTTAAAACATTAATTTAAAACTTAAAAAAATATAATTGCTTAACTCAAACAGTCACAAAAATGATTAAAAAGTCGCGGTTACATAATTTGGGAACAATGTTACCCATCATTAACATTCAACATATACGCCAACCAAAAAATACTATTTTATAACTCTAGTGATCTTACTATTTAGTGATTAATAATCACTAATTTATCACATAACCGATTACCACTTATTGACAGTTTATAAATTTAATAATGCAATTTTAGGGGATCTAGATACCAATTAATTAAATTATTCTAAACATTTCTATTGCCTCCCTTATGTTAAGTTCTTTGTAATTATTGACGTTTTTAATTAGTTTTACGGTCTTAATGGAATGATTATGTGTAAATAAATGTTCAGTCACAGAAGAAAATTCAACTTCTTGATTTTAAATATTCCTTATGAGTTCTTTAACCCTGACCTTAATGTTTCTTTTTGTTAGTCCTTACTTTTTTAATTAATATTTTAATTTTAAATACATAGGCCACAAACGATTAATACATAATATATGCATATTATAATATTTAATACAGGTGTATCATATTTTTCAAAATTACATGACGCAGGTAATAATAAATTATATGTTTTTCTAAGTATTTAATATCATTTCTTATAAATACATAATTGTATAATACAATCAACTTTTATAACTGTCTTCATAACAATATTCTTATTTATTCTTCTAATCTTTTTTTCCTTAGATAGATTACTTAAAATCTATGAGCTTGGTGAAAAATATATTTACTGGTATATTGAAGGTAATTAATTAAAATAATTTCAATATAATTTTGAAAGGACTGAATTCAAGTAATTTATTTAATAGCCCAATTAATTGTTTAATTTTAATATTGAATTCATAAATTTCAACTTTTTTAGAGAATGACATCGATACTCAAAATCATAAAGACATAAATGGTAAGTAAATAAGTGATGCTTTGTTAATTTCCATTCCTAAACTTTCGTTTTATTTGGACGAATT